AACTCAATCGCATTTAAGACTTGAACCCCAAAACCCAGTTGTTACTCGAGACTCTTTGCCTACTAAGCCGTTCTGGTGGGTAAGGTCTAAATAGTAATTGTTGCCAATAGTGTTTTATGGGGATGTAACGGTGTACTGTAGACGGTACACACGATCTTCGGGGCTATTCAGTCATTAGCTAAATCTGTGGTTCGTGAATATATTTTTTGTTGTTGTATGGAGCATGTTATTGTACGAATATTTAAAATTACAAAAAATACATCATTTCTTCCTGTAAACGCAAAGTTATCAAACATGTATCGTGTGCACCTAGAACGGTACATATTACGTACTCAACAGTACGGCCGCATTCATATGCTTTCGTGTGGTGCTACTATCGTAAAGTCCATAAGCCTCAATCGTCGCCATTAAGCATAGTGAAAGCGAATGACAAGTTCCTCTACTCGTATGCTATTGTGGTTGGTAATAATGACCAGCAGTTTAAGGTCTGACTGTATTACTCATCGTAAAGCGATTTGGAAAAGTGATAAAGCTTTTTAGTCTTGGTATGAAAGTCTAAACTAAATATAGCACTATCTAAATCCTACCAGTATTTATGTTAGGTTTCGTCAAAAACAATTCCTATTGATTGCTCTTCAAGCTAAGCTAGTGAATCATTTCTTCTAGAGACGAGTGATTCGTCGAAGGAAAATCCAAATAAATTTCCTTGAAACGATAAATGTCTATGGTCGCTTTACAAGTTCAAAATATTGAAGATATTACTCAAGTTCCTAACTATAGTTTTAATTTTAAACTAGATGGATAGGAAATAAATAAAAATTGCACAAAACGAAGCCTGTATTAAACGAAAAATGTCTTTTCTTTTGTCACTTTAACAATAGAGAGAACATGTTGAACTTCAAAAATCTTATTCTAAGAAAAAAATAAAAAACAATTTAAGTAAGGAGTAGTAAGTAAAAAAGATTTATATTATATCCGTGAAACTAAATGCGGATAGTTCTTCAATCAAATTTCTTATAAGTGAGAACGTGGCAATGAATTTTGCTTTCATAATACTTTGGCATCTGTTAACGTAATCTTCGTATTCATTTAAAATTGTTTTTTAAAAAAAGTAATGCTCTCTTAAAGTTTTATTTTCGAATTTCGAAATGACCGTTATTTACATATACAAACAATTAAAAAATTTTTATAACAGAGACAGGTGCTCTTCTCGCATGGTTTTTGAAAAAAAAAAACACATAATATGAAAAACAAAAAGAAGTAAATTTCACGCTTTATAAACCCTTTTTTTTTTTTTCTCTCTTTCTTGGCATGTAACGCAACAAAAAAATGTAAAACAATATTTATAATTTATAAAATATTACGTGTGCGTGAATGTATAAATGCATACACACATAAACAATTTCCATTAAAATTCCTTTAAACAGGAAACAGATTTTGACTATAAACAAAGTAAATAACGTATCCAACGATGACGAGAAAAGAAGGGAACGAGAATAACGCAATAAAACCTATTTCTAAATTTACATAACAAGAAAAAAATAAAGAAGGGGGTTGTTTGTCATTATTAGAAGAATGTCAAAGTATGCAGCAACTGTCCTTCATCGCATTAACATCGCGTTACATTTGGGTGAGCGTTGAGAACTATGAGAAAAAAAACAAAATAAACAAAAAGGAGAAAAACAATGGAAAACCAACCCTCATTGAAATTTCAATAACCGAAGAAGAAGAACAAGAAGTCGGCTGATGCTTTTAGAAGATTAGTAGAATTTTTATACAAGAAGCCTATAAAACCACTTCACTTTAGGAATTTTTTTTTCCCACCCACAGATAATTACGATAATTATTTTATATATCGAAATTTGATAAGTAAACATTTTCAAAAAAGGGGAACGAATAGCTTAAAGAGAATAAATTAAAACAATCTAATGAATACAGTTAAACTCGACTATTCGATACTCTACAATTGCGCAAGCATAAGAACAAAAATTTGTTTCTTTCTTAGATTAAACATAGAGCAAAGGGAATAGTTAGGCTATTTAAAATAAAAACCAATCTGCCCTAACTACTTCTGCTAATTATAAGCAGTTGTTCTTGAAAAGTCTCACATATAAATCATTAAAGAGAATTAAGAAAAAGCGAACACCTTGTGCCCTTTAAATAAACACATCTTTAATTAAAGTTTTCTCCTCTCCTCTCCTATCCTGTCCTGTCCTCAACTAAAAAAGAAGCCAATTTAAAAAAAAAAAAAAACAGACTTTCAAGTTTGTTGCTGCCATTCTCAAGCACTTATACACTTATTCACCCATCATTGCATACCTAGTACTCCTAAGTTTGTTTTCGCCTTTCATTGATAACAATGATTTTTTTTTTGTTATTACATTTTCTAAGCACGTTTTTCTGCTTTCTTGTACGTAATCTTATCACAAGAGAAAAGAAAAATATAAAATAATTAAATCTGAATAAAAAGCAACAGCAAAAAAAAAAAGGCAAATGAAACGACAAACACAGCACAATTGAATAGCGAGAACAGAATTCACCAGATATAAACAACCGTTTTTAATGAGTGTGGATCTAGTCACAATATCTGAAAAAAACCATGTGAAACACTGGACCCTCACTCACTAAAAACAGCAGTATTTTGTGCGAGGTAATAAATTATATATGTAATTATATAAAAAAAAAAAATATAATAATAAAAATAAATAAATAAATAAATATATAAGTATATAAAGGAAATCAAAATGCCTTTTTTTTGTTTTTTATTTCTTTTGTTTTTCATCGTTTGTTATTTTTTGTGTTTCTTATTTTAAAAATATACATACATGCTACTTAAATATATACTATTACTAAGAATACGAAGAAACCAACAACAACAGTTGATAAGCTTTTAAGGGGGAAAAATGCGTATTATCAATTTTTCAAAATATTGAATAATATTTTGCAATTCTAGTAAATATTGTATAATATTCTTAAAGTTTTTTTGATAAACAAAATATCATAATTCTATAAATAGAGAACAAAAAAATAAAGTTAATAAATAGTAGGAAAAATTTTAAAAATTCCAGTCACTTGATATGTACACTTGAAGCATACTTTCAATAATCGAAATTTATGCTGAGAAAAGCAATTAATTAGTGAAACTGAACTGAATTGAAAAGAAGAAGAAGAAGGGATAGAAAAGATCTGAGGGGTTTTATGATCATTATTATGAAGCTGAATGAAAAATTTGCTCTCACATAGTAGCATAACTGAAATAAGGTGCCATGGATGTCTTCCCGCCAATGAACACTTAGTTTTCTGCCCAAAAAAAAAGAAGAAGAAAAACCTATAATTGATTTTTACTTAATTCATTTTCTCATATTAATATTTCAGAATTTAAAAAAGCGAATAAAAATGATGGAAAAAAACGAGCAATCGAATATAGAGAGAAAAAGTTTCGAAATCATATGCTAAGCTAGATTATGTGGTTAAGTTTTTTTTTTTTTTTTTTTTTGGTTGGTAATTTTTAAACGGAATGACGAAGTTATTACAGTCTCGTTCGTCGATGATAAGCTTAAAACTAATTATGTATTACAAAAACGATGACTAAGAATATTAATGAATAAATCGTTCTCAACACTTAGACTACACACTAAACTAATTTGTAAATTTAAATATTAACATAACTACATATATTTTATAGCTTTCAAAAGTAGTAAAATAAGTCTTTCTACATTACAGAACGTCTAGGACGAGAATGGAGCAATAAATATTTTCTAAAATATTTCCCACATTCCTTAAGCCACGTCATTATATGATTTCTTAGTTTCAGCAATCTTTTAAAAGAATTAATATGAAACTTATTTCAATCAAGTAAGAAATCGAATGATAAGAAGGAAATGTAAAGGAAAAGAATCCACAGCCCATATATTCGAATGTCACGTTTCATCGAGGAAAACATTAGTTTACACAAAATCCGTTTGTGCTCACGAAGTCCCTTAAGGACAAGCGATACGAGAGTGGCTTAACCTCAAGGTATCGCTCAAGAACTGGAGTCAACTATACTCTTCCCGAAAATGGTGATTAACAGAAACTCAAATATTGATCTCAAGCAATTATTAAAAAAATTTCAAACACATTAAACATCTTTCACACGCACCACCCAAAAAGCATCGAAATCTTCGCTGAGATAAATAAGTAAATGAAATACGACTTTTCTGAGATAAAATTATTATTAATATATAAAAAGCTTAGATTACATTTTTAGTCTCGAATTTCAATTTAAAATAAAAAATTAATTTTTTCAAAGACATGCGTGTAAGTACAAGTTCAACCTATTTCTAACTTGATATTATGAAAGACCTTTTTCTCTTCATAAAAGCTAACGCTTGTTTCTTAAACTTGTGGTTATTTTAATTTTCAGAATAAAGTTAATCAAAATCTGATATTTATTGAAATTTTCAATTAATAAGTAAACGAAAAATTGTTGCGTTGTTGTTCGTGTTAAACGTCAGCCTATGTGAATAGGAAATAAACATATGATACAAGTATGGATTATGGCTTTCAATTTGGCAAAGGCTCAATATTTTTTAAAATACTTGCTAGTTATCTTACATTTTCTTTTATCGATGAAATACGTTGACTTCATCCTACCACCAAAGTACTTTCATTTTATTTAAGAACTAATTCTATTGTAATCTATCAATAATATTGAATACGTTCCCTAATGACAAATTAAAAAGAAAATTCATATATATATATATGTATAAATCAAGAATATATAACGATTAAACCCTTTCCATTTAACTAAAAAAAAAAATAAATAAATAAACAAACGATGAAAATAACTTCTTACAACAATGAAATATTCATATAAATGTTATACGTAATAAATAGGCAATCAGTTTAGTTAATAGAAAGACAAAAAAAAAAAAAAAAAACTTACGATTATATATATACATATATATATATATAGATATATAGACATGTAGTATAGAAAAATAATAAATTCGGCTTACAAAAAATTCTAGGGTTACCACGCTTAGAGAAAATATTTTTACACAAATTTTGTTATACATTCACATAAGCCGTGACGCTGAGATACTGGTTGCCAGTGTATTGGTATGTACATGCTATATATTTTTGTATATTCACATACACACACACACGCGCGCGCGAGCACACTGAAATGTAACGACAAAAAAAAAAAAAAAAATTGTAGAATGTTATGAGAGGTAAGAGAGAAGCTCCACAGTTATTAAAAATTTTATTGTGTTGTAGTGGTAAGTCTCCAAATAATGAAAAAAAAAAATAAATAAATAAATAAATTTTTTTTCTCTAAGAGAACAAATTAATCGCAGTCTATTTATTTACTCAACAAGCAATTGTAATCTCTTTGTTTTTTTTTCAAATTTTCGGTAAAAATTTGTTTGCATTTACCGTAAGAGTTAGTTTAGTTAGTAAGAAAAGTTTTCAGAATTTTTTTTCAATAATTTGATGTTTTTCTCTTTAAAGATTGTAAGATTTCTTTTCTTCAGTGGCGTTATTTGAAGATCATTTTTTTTTCTGTTTCTTTCTTTCTTTTTTTTTCTTTTTTTTTTTTTGCACAGAGAGGAAAGTCTATCTTCTCATTCGCGTAGGTATATATATATATATATATACACATAACAGAGAGTTGGGTAGTGAGTAAGTGTCTGCATATATGCATGTATGTACATGTAGGTATTTATACATATGTATATAGTGCATTGTATTAAATTTCATCTTATACACACAAACAAAAGGCGGCAAATTTCCAGTATATAGCGTGTTCGTATGTTCGTTTAATTGAATTTAATGTAAATTCTTTATAATTTGATTATTTTCGCATTTTTTTTTTTTTTTTTTGTTTTTGCTTTTCTTTTCTTTTCTTCTTAGAGAATATCAAATTACAGAGTATACGGCAATAAAAACCACTAAATACACACAGTCCGTATAGATTTTGATTAAAAAAAAAATTTTATAAATTGTTTTTCTCTCTTCCTCTCATACTCTCTTCTTCCTTTATACTATTCGATATATTTAATTTTTTTTTTTTTTTTTTTTTTTTTTTTTTTAAGTTTACAGTTTGATTCTAATTTTTGTATATAATTTTTCTCACACATTATTGTTTTAACACAAACTTGAAGTTCTTTACATATATATGTTTATAAGCCGTTCACAAAATAAGCTGCTCAAAATTCTCTACGTTATTATTAATTATAAATATGTTGCTGTGGTGTTAGAAAAAAGAAAAACAAGAAACCACCGTTAATTTAAACGATCGATCTTTACCTTAACGTTACTCTTATAAGACTAAACTCTAGTTTAAAGCTGATGTAGCAACAAAGCGCTTGAGCGTTGGCAACCCATAGTTGAAATTGTATTTTTTTTTTTATTTTTTTCTTTTTCACAAAAGTCGATACAACTACTACTACTACTAATACTAATAAACAATGACAAAAAAATAATAAAAATCAACAGCAACAACAATAGCAAACAACTAGAGAACCCAAACAACCACTATCTCAAGTATATAGTACAATATCGGGGAGAAGAAACGTCGGTTTGTATATATATATATATATATATATATGAGAGTATACATAATATGAACTCAACAGTACACAAACAATCGATCTTTTTGTCTTTTATTTCTTTAAAGTTGGTACATCAGTCCGTCAGTCAGCTAAACAGCTAACCAGGCAGCACACCAACCAACCAACCAACCAACCAACTAACCAACCAACTAACTAACTAACTAACGAGCCAAGCAGCCAGTCAGTCACTCAGTAAGCCGGTCGATCAGTCAGTTTACCAATATATTTTTATGTCGTTAATTTTTTGAAAATGGTCGAGGTACTGGTATAATAGTCGATGCAGTTGTGTTGTCGTTATTGCTGGTAGAGTGCTGTTGCTTCTGCAGTTTTAGGTTCACAGCGGTACAACAGTTTATGAGATGGGGTCGTATAGAGAAAGAAAACCAAAAACAATAACATCATTAATAGTACTTACTTTGATTACGTTTAACTGAGAAGTCTTGGATAATTCAGCTCTCTGCAGAAATATGAGTAAGATTGTCTGAGTATGTACACAATTACGAAAAGGAATAAGAAAAGGGGACACATTTCGCTCTTTCTTTTAATACATACACGGAGCGAAAGAAAGGTATAAATTCAATTATGAGACACCCCTTTGCGAATGAAGTTACTTCATTTTATTGAGAAGCTTGTAATACCCAGAGACGTAACTTGATCTTTTGATCCGTATTCTTTCACTTACTCCAAACACTTCAAGCTCAAATAATTGTGTGCAAGAAAAACGAATAATCATGAACTCAATCGCATTCAGTTCGTCAATAAAACATCTACTCGTTCTAGCGAATGTTTTAAAGTGGTTGGTTAACATCTAATAAATTATTATTTTTAGACGGGTGCAGTTTCGATACGTTTAGCGGTGTAGGTAAACTATGTTGAGCTTTAGATTTTTGAAATAATGAGATTTGGATTAATGAGTCGTAGAAAATAATTGACAAAAAAAAATTAAAGTAAAACCGAAAATATACTTAAAAGTTCTTTATATTTATACATTGGCAAAGGAGAGTCGAATATCACTATAATAGGACTACAGGCAACTGAATACTGGAACACGGATGACGATATGCTTCGAGATTCTTCTCTGGATTGAAAAAAGCAATTTTAAAAAGATGGCCAAATGGAAGAATTGAAAATATTTCATCCCAAGTTTTGTAAGTAATTTTCCGAAAGTTAAAGGAAGAAAATCACTTGCAAGTTTTCATTCAAGTTGTTCATAAATACAGTTCCGCCTTGGTAAAAATTATCGGATTTATAAAAAGAAATCCATAATAATAATAAATTTAAAAAGTACTTTTTATGATAGGCGAAAGTTCTTCAAAAAGAAAGAGCGCTTAGAGGTACCTTCCCCTTAATGTACTTGTACTTTGCAGTGATCACACTCCTTACGATAAATCTTTGTTGACCATTTCTTTATGGAGTTTCCTTCTTTTTCTTTAAGCAATTTTCATCCCCTTCCCTTGGTCGGCACAATTGAACCGAATTGCTGACCTTGACAAACAGGGGGTTTAAATCGATTATTACCAAACATTTAACGATTTTTGTATTGATCAATCAGATATAAATGGCTTTAATATCTATGAGACTATATTTCGCCTGCACAATAAGCTTCTATACATATTATCACGATTTGTCTTAATTTGTGGCGAGACATTGAACCATTTCAAAATTACTTTGTGTTGGTGTTAAGTGCCCGGATATTATAATTCTTTGTGCAGCGGTATTAAGTATAATTCTGGTAGGTCTGCTTGATCAGCTACGACAAATACTCGAGGAAGAGGTTATCTTATCCTTTCACTAAACGCATTATATTTGCCGGATTTTAAGAGGAATGTTATGTTAAGAATATTATTTTTTATAAACAAATGTTTCTTCTCAGTGTGTAAATTTTATTTTATTTAATCTTTCTTTCTTTCTAAACGCAATATATATAAATCCACCGCAAATCCAGGAAACAAACCTAAAAAGCAAGATTTTACTAAACAAATTTCTTTCTTTTCTTTTGCATATAGTAAGCCCAAGAAAAAAAATGATGACGTAGTAGTAAATATAAAGAAAGAAATACAAAGAAACGAACGAGAAAGAAAAAAAACCCAAAGAAATCCAGATCTTTTCACAACAACAACAACAACAACAAGAACAACCTTATATGCTTGCATTCACATACATACACATACAAACAAGCACACAGGGGCACATATGTGCACATCTCTAAACTCTAATTTCTCTATACATGGGCCAAAGAGAATCAAACTTATTTACTCGTTACTATATATACAGTCAACGCCGCAATAGCAACCACGATCATCGTATAGTTAAAGGTGTTAGTTTTCTTGGTACGTTTTATTTAGTAGTTACATACATATATACATATATATATATATATATATATATATATATATATCTATATATCTTTGCGAGCGTGTGTCTAAATATGTATGTGTTCTTTTTTACTTAGGTATTTTATTTATTTTCTTTTATATAACAATAATAGCATGACGTTGCCTTTTACTTGCTTTTCGCTTTATTCCGCAATTTCTTGTTTTCGTCGTCCAAGTTATATCGTAAAGATACATATCTATATACGTATACGTATGAGGAAAGCATATTCTCACCAATACTATAGCACTGATTATTAATAAAATAATTCGTGTTAGTAAAGCCTACCGGCATGACGTGAAACATACGTCAAAGTTATGAGAAATGAGAGAGTTATTGCACTTTTTCCATATATGCATATGTGATTCTAGAGGATTTATTTTTATTAATTTGTTAAAGTTGAACACTTAAAATTGATCATAAATTTTTTTTTTTTTTTTCTAAAAATATCTCTAATATATGGAGACATTGGTTAATATCAAGCTTGCTTTGTTGTTCTCACGGTCCAGGTAATGGACATTCAAAAAAAAGTTATAAATAATTCTTTTCTAAGTCATTTTCATCGTTTAAATACAAGTTATTACTGCTACCTATTCTTTAATTATTAACGTCTTTACTTTATTGAAGAAATTTTTTCGGTGAGTTGTTTACGATTAAATTATGAACTCAAGTCAAAACTATGGCAATGCGAAGAAGAATACGCAATCGCTTATGAATATGCAACACGCGATCTCCTTAACGTTTGCTATCTTACATATACGACTAAAATGTTAGTCTACATAGTATAACGGTTTACAGGCACAAAAAAGAAAAAAAAAAAAAACATTTGCTTACTTTTGAACGATAAGTAATGTGAATGTAAATAATCGAATGAATATTTGATTACGAGAAAAATTATCGCCTAAAAATATTATCGATGGAAGATGAGATTATATCACTTCGGTTTCGGAAAGTAAAATAAAGATTTATATGACGATGAATATATATCGTAGAGTGTGTATCGTGTATTTTATATATCTATAATATTCTTCTCAATCGTTCGAAAATTAAAATTAAGAAAATTATAGACCCCGTCTCGACTTAGTTCGTATATGATATTCGACAGTTATGGGGAGAGCTGCGTGAAGTGGAAAACTTAAAACGAATTTATTATTAATGTTATATTATATTGAATTTGAAAAAAAAAAAAAAATCTCCTTTTCTTTTTCTTAACTAACAAAGCTAAGGTTCCACCTTAACTGAACAGAGTTTTATAGAGTTATAAGAAGAACTTTCGAGGCCATGTTTTTTTTTTTTTTTTTGATTAACTTTAATTAACCATAATTATTATTTCAATAGATAAATATACAACGCATTAGCCAATGATTCCTCATATTGACGAAAAGATATCATCTCTAGACGACTTTTAGTTGTAGTGTTTTCCTGCCAAAAATTTCCGTGACAATCTTGAAAATGTATTCATGTCCCTGATAACTGCATTTAATGCCTTTAAGTAGTTTAGCAACTGTCCATACAGCAAATTTGTAAATGCGTCTTGAAGCTATAGGACACCCAGTTTCAAAAAAAAGCAAAGAAAGAGATGGCGCCAATATATCGAAAAGATTTTATAGACCTGTTACAAAATAATCGACCTGAACCATTAGAAAAGGATAAAATTTGCTTCTAGCAGAATATTGTTTCAGTTTGTACGATCTGACTAATACGTTCAAGGAGCAACGCTAAGGATCTCTAAAAGTCCTTAGCTCTTATTTTTCGTGCAAAAATGGTTTGAAGTTCCTAACAATATTTGAATAATTAAAAAAAAAGTCGGCAAAAAATTGTACAAAATTTGTATAAAAAAAAAAATGTGTATTGAAAAAATCTTTATTTATGAAGTAATAAATAGTAGGAAAGCACACGCGCAACTTCCCTCATAACTACCGACAAAAGAAAAATGGCAAATAAATAATTAAACCGTGAGCTTGAAATAGTTCCGAACATAATAATAACACACATAGGCAAACGTACAGAGCTATCGAAGCATATGCAATAATTTCATCATCATTTGAATGCATACATATGTAGGCCCATGTTTACTACTTTTA